TGGATGTGCTCACCAAGTTGTGCCAAGAAATTTGGAGGACAACTACTAGGCCAATGGCCTGGAAGAGATCTGTATTTATTCCCATTCCAAAAAAAGGCGACCAGACAGAGTGGAAATTATCTAAAATTATCTAACAACATCACTAGTATCATACACTAGCAAAATACTGCTGAAGATCATCCAGAAATGACTGGAACAGTACACTGACAATTACAAGAAATACAAGCTGGGTTTCGAAGAGGTCGTGGCACTAGAGGCATTATAAGCAATGTCAGATGGGTGCTGGCAGAAAGCAAAGAGTACCAGAAGAACAGCTATGTTTCATTGATTATGCAAAGGCATTTAACTGTATGGTTCACAAAAAAACTGTGGCTAACCTTGAGGAAAAATGGGAATCTCAGAACACTTGATTGTGCTTATATGAAACCTATACTTGGACCAGGAAGCAGTCCTCACAACAGAGCAGGGAAACACTGCATGGTTCAAAATCAGGAAAGGGGTGCATCCTACCTCCATACCTTTTCAATCTATATGCAGAACAGACCACTGAGGAAGCAGGGTTCTATGAGGAGGAGTGTGGCATCAGGATTGGAAGACTCTCAACAACCTATGTTATGAAGATGACACAACTTTGCTTGCTGAAAACTGAAGAAGATGAAGTGTTTACTGCAGAAAGTCAAGGACTGTAGTCTTCACTATGGATTGGAGCTCACCATCAAGAAGACAAAGATTCTCACAACTGGGCCAACTGGTAGCACCATGATAGATGGAGAAGGGATTAAGGTTGTGTTAGCAATTACAGCTTGCTCAGCTCCACAATCAACACTCAGTCAGGAAATCAAAGACAAATTGCATTGGGAAAGTTTGCTGTCAGGGACCTCTCCAGAGTGCTGAAAAGCAAGTGTCAGTCTAGCGACTAAGGTGCGCCTAATCCAGACCACGGTTTTCACAAATACTTGCTATGCAGCAGAGAGTTGGACAATGACTAAGAATGACAGAAGAATCAATGTCTTTAAATTGTGGTGCTGGAGACGAACAAACCATGGACTGCCAAGAAAACAAATAGGTCTGTCTTGGAGAGGTGAAACCAAGTCTCTCCTTGGAGGCTAGGATTTTGAAGCTATGTCTCACATATTTTGGGCAAGTGGCCAGTAGAGATAGGTCCTTGAGGACGACATCATGCTTGAAAGGGTGCAGAGATAGCATAGGAGAGGGAGACCCCAGATGAGATGGACTGATACAGTAACTGGGGCAATGGGGTTGGTGTGTTGCAATCAGTGAGACTGGCTCAGGACAGGTCAGGGTTACAAGCTGCTGTACATAGGGTCACTGTGGGTCACAGGCAATTCAGTGGCACCTAACAGCAATGAGGTGTCTAATTTTCCATTTAATTTTATATGTTTGGTATGGTTTTGTCTTTTAAATTCTTCTAGAATCTTGACTATGCTTTCCTGGATATATTTTGTGGTTTCCTCAAACTTTCTTCAATCTGATGGACTTAACTATCAGTCTTTTTCTTTTTCAATTTTAGAACTTTGATAATCTGCTATTAGCCTTCATCCACACTGACTGCAGATTTTTAAGAGTACATAGGTGACCAATGTGGATAGCTTATTTGAGGAATCTTTGTCCTCAGTACATTTTCTGGATAACTGTACGTGGATGTGGTATGGGACATTCTTTAGTTCTCTGGCCCAGATGGCTTTGCTGAGCCTGTTGTCAGTGCAAACATCTGGTGCTCCCACCTCATTCACGGCAAATTTCCAGATCTCGGCGCATGCTTAAGGGGCTTGCTTCCTGAAAGCCCACCCCATGGCTGCTCTTGTGAATGCCGATGGTGTATTCTCTGGTCACCATTTCATTGATGGTAGAATGGCCCTTCTCACCTCCTTTTCTGGTGGGGGCCATAGTGCCAGGACAAGGCTGGAAAGAACAATCTTTTCAATACCTTATCAGGAAGCTTCAATGGTATTTCTTGCTCTAGATAATTTTCTGGTTCTGTATTTTGGTCACTTCCCCCACCCCATCTTGCTCTAGTTTTTCCCCCCCTCCAACTCAAAGTTATCTGTTACCTCTGAGAAAAGGCAGTGGTGTCTTTGTAATTTCAATAGCTCAGATTAGGCCATGCAAGAGTGCTGTACCACTTGCTGGTTTGGTAATTCTTAATGTCTCCTATGTTCCCACAACGTGAATTAGACTGCTGTTCTGTGTCAGAGTCACCTATGACTACTGCAATCCTATCATAGTAGCTCTCAACTGTCCTATCTTGAGCCAATCTCACTGTGTCTGACACACCTGTCCCTATTCAGTCACTGTGCCAAGCCATCTCATCCAGAGTCTTCCTCTCTGGAATTTTCCTTCCACCCTTCTAAGCATGATGTCCTTTCCCAAGGACTTGCCCTTTCTGGCACCAAGTTCCAAGTATGTCAAACAGAGCTTCAAAATCCTTGCTTCCAGAGTGTAAGTTGGCTTCACCCTCCCCAAAACAGACTTGTTTGTTCTCTTGGCAGTCCATGGTATGTCCCATATTCTTCTACTGCACAGCTCAAAGGCTTGAGCTCTTCTTCTGTTATCCTTATCCATTGTCCAGTGCTCTGATGCACAGCAAGTGATTGCAAAGAACATGGCCTGGATGAGGCCAACCTTCGTCTCTAAATTGACAAGTTTGTACTTCAGCATTCTGTAGAGGTCCCTTACAGCAAACTTTCTTAATCCAATTTGTCTTTTGAGTTCCTGGATGCTGGTTCCAAGATTGTAGATTGTGAATCCAAGAAAGCTGAAATTGTTAATAATTTCAACAACTTCTCCATCTATCATGGTGTTACCAATTGGCCCAGTGGTGAGAATCTTTGTTTTCTTAATACTGAGGTTCAATTCATAATGCAGACTGCAGTCTTTGACTTTCTGCAGCAGATACTTCCAGTCTTCCTCAGTTTCAGTGAGCAAGGCTGTGATATCTGCATAAAGCCAAGTTGTTGACAAGTCTTCACCCAATCCTGACACCACATTCCTCCTCATAAAGCCCAGCCTCCTGAATGATCTGTTCCACATACAGATTGAAAAGGTATGAAGGCAGAACACATCCCTGATGCACTCCTCCAGACAGACATTCTTCTGGTACTTTCTGATTTCAGCCAAGGTCCATCTGACACATTGGCATGATGTCCCTAGGGCCATAGCCTCTTCTAAACCCAGCCTGTATTTCTCTGTTGATGTACTGCTGCAGTCATTTTTGGGTAATATTCAGCAAGATTTTGCTTGCGTGTGTTATCAGTAATGTTGTTGTTGTTATGTGCCGTCAAGTTGCTTGCGACTCACAATGACCCTATGTACAACAGCTCTAAACTCTGCTCTGTCCTGAGCTAATCTCAATGCCTCCAACACACTCATCCCGACTGTCCCAGTCACTGAATCAATCCATCTCCCAGAGGGCCTTCCCCTCCTGCACCTG